GAGGGAGGGAGGGAGGGAGGAAGGGAGGAAGGGAGGAAGGGAGGAAGGGAGGAAGGGAGGAAGGGAGGAAGGGAGGAAGGGAGGAATGAATTTTTTAAGAGACACTAATGTCTCTTTTATGTCTTTATAATTCTTCTATAAATTATATAAAGAAAAGAATCATAACATCTGGGCCTTTAGAAACTACCAGCCTGGCAGTAGATGTATCTACCACTTACTAGAAGGTACCTTATGCTTCTATACTCTGAGCTGCCCATGTGTGGTATTTACACTCAAGAACTCTCTATTTGCTAATCAAATTTTGTAAAACTGTCTTTAGTTTGAATATCTCTGAGTTTAGAATCTGTTTCTCTGTGTGATTTGAAAATCATATGCAATTATGAACATGAGTGCACATTTATTACTTTAGTTCACAGGTCACTAATGTTAATGAAATATGTGTTAGGAATTAGTAAGAATAAAATTTGGAGAGATATGGGTTTCCCTGTGATAGAAAATTAAGTTTTTTGGTTTAAAAAACAGGAATTTATTTTTCATAGTTCTTTGTAAAATTAATTCCATTGGTACATGGATCAGCACAATGATCACATGCATTGGTGGGAGGTTGCACGTGTACATAATACATCCCAATTGCAAGTAGTTCATTATTTGAAGGAAAGTGTATAAGAGATTTTTTTTTATTTTCTGAGAATGAGTGAACACCGAAAAGTGTTTCAAAGCAAGTACATTTTACTGAATATTCTTTAACATAAAGTACAAATCACCAATATTACTTAAAATTGTGAACTCCTGGTTGCCACTTGGTAGGATGACTTCATTATTTGGTAAACCATTTTGTTTGCTTTTTTATTATGATGATGATTTTTATGTATTTGGTACAGGGTCTCACTACACAGCTCAGACTCATAGTGATCCTCCTGTTTTCAACCACCCCAGCGCTGGGATTACAGGTGTGCGCCACCACGCCCAGTCAGTCTCAGTGGCCTGCTCATTGTGCCTTGGGATAGGGCCAGCATGGCATGTGGTGCTGGGCATCAAAACCCATTCACTGCACTTGACTAAGCAGGCGCTAAGTCTGCTGAACTATCTCACAGGCCCTTGGTAGCCAATTTTGGATATTGTATTAAATCAAGTATAAAAATATCATAATCATGTATCAATGGATTTTCATTCATGATGACATGTACTATAAGAGGTACATAATAAAGAATGCCCAGCTAGTTATAAAAATTAAACAAACTGTAGCATTGTAGTTCTTTCTGCTCATCAAGCTTTTTTGTGCTGTTTCATGTATCTGTGCCTGGACCTTGTCTGGAAACTACAGGTCCGGAGCTGAGATGCTACATTCCCAAGAATACCTTTGACAACCCTGATAAGGCTACCTTTTCTCTTCCCTGCTAGCCATTCATGCCTCCATCTTTACATACACCATGCCATGATGACAGGGTGTATCTTGTCTTTCTCAAAATCTGAAGCCCCTAAAAGGGACTATCTACAAGCTATTATGTATAATGCCAGCAGCTGCTTCACATGGGACCTACTAGGCACTAGCTGTTCAATAAGTGTTTGCTAGACTCCACTAACTGTTGAGAACAAATAAATAATACCTGAGTATGTAAAATTAAATCCTAATATAAATTATAAATCTTTTGACATAGTGAATTATAAGCAGAGGAAGAGATCAACAAAGTTCAGGAAGGCTTTCTTAAAAAGTTAGGACTTGATTTGTGTCTTTCGTATAGCACTTCAAGGAAGAAGCAAAATTATTTCCAGGAAATTAACAATATTCTTGTGGTGAGAATGAGCAAGCTGTATTAGTGGACAAGAGGTGTTGGTCTGGGGGTATGTCTCTGAGGTAGACATGCCTGACACACATTGGGCCCTGGGTTCAATTGAAGCCCTAGAGGTATTGAGTTCTAAAGGATGGAAATAAGATTGGGTGATTAAATTAGCATCATGGCCATCCTACCCTTGGAGAGTGCTGAGACAACAATTGAGACTGGGCATGGTGGTGCATGCCTGTAAGCCCAGCTTTTGAAGGGCTGTAAACAGGAGAATCACTATGAGTCTGATCTAGTAGTGAGACCCTGAACACCCTGTAGACCCTTCCCTAAAAAATAAAAATAAAAATAAATTAGCATCAACCCATAAAATCAAATCATTTAATTTAGACTATGCCCCAAAAATAAAAGGTTCAAAAGTTCTTCAAATAGTCCATTAGATTTCCTAAAATCAGAGCATTTCCCATGCAGAAGGTATTGTACTTGGTTCTGCTCAGAGTCCTATTTAGGCTGAGCATATTCCCTACCTTCACAAATAGGAATTTAGATCGTTGACCAGTAAAATCAAAAGTGAAACTGCATGCTGTCCTTATGCAGAATAAACAGCATTTTTAGAGCACATATTGCGTCTATTTTATTGTCATGTCACTGACTAACAAAAGATGGCTAAGACACTGGGCCAATTCACAGTAAGTTCCTAACCTACCTATTATGGGGATAGATACACACACATTACAATATTTAGTAAATGAGGAGAAAAATTTAAATTCTCTAAACTCAAATAGATACAGACACAAATATTTGAAGTAAGGTGGAATTAATGGCAATTCAATGAAAGTAAGACATTTAGATACTTTGAGAGGACTGACACAGTGAAAAGGGATATTTTTTTGAAAATATGAGTTCGGTCCCTCAACTTGAGTCTCCCGGTTCATTGATGACCACTCATTTTCTCAAACTGTATTTTACTAGCTCTATCAGAGGGTTGCTAGGAAGGTTTATTAAGCTGAACTCTGTTATAGCTCCTAACATAGTAGGACACAGTACTTGTTCAATAAATATTGCTGAAATCTGAATCTAGCTAAGAGAAAATTGTATTTCAGAGGTTTTATAAAATGTGCCCTTAGCTTTAATAGCTAAGATTCTGCATTCTACACCTTGGACAGTGAATCAGACTGAGTAGACGAGTAGACTCCCAGCTGGAAGGCAAGCTGTGATCTCCAGGAAACCTGGGAAGCACATTCTCTTTACTCCGGGATAGCTGTCATAGAGGAGGCAGCACTTGGCACTGTGTTCTGGGCTTGTTGGCCTCCCTGACCATAATGTGCCCATCACTTTCTCCCGGACAGATGATCCTCTTCTCAGCCTGTTGCATCTGTGGACTCATCGGAGGTATCCTCAATTTCCAGTTCCTTCGTGCAGTCACAAAGAGGACCTCTGCCCTGTACCCTCTGCATCTGGCCTCCATGTCCCTGGCGTGCATTGGGATCGGGGGTTGCACCCTGTCCTCCTGGCTCACGTGTCGACTGGCCAGCTACGAACAGAGGAGGATGTTCTCCGAAAGGGAGCACTCCCTGCATCACTCTCATGAAATGGCTGAGAAAGTGAGTTTTGTGCCTCCACCTCCCACTGCCATCCTGTGATAAGAAGGCACTGTACTCTAAGGGAATCCAATTGCAGCCTTAGATGACAGTTTGGAAGGCTTGCAGTTTATACACTGTACCCTGTTAGATTCAAAGTAAGATTTTTTTTAAAATTATGTATTCTTTGCAATTCTTGGGTACTTGTTCCCAGCATAGCTTCTCTGTCTTTTTTTAAAACGTAGTTCCTAAAATAGAATTTAATAAAATATTGAATACCTTATAAATATGGATTGTATGTATTATACTGATAAAAAAGCACATAAATTAAATACAGTCTCTACTCAATAACAAGAGTTTTGGAAACCACACGAATTCCCTTTTCTAGCTCAGTCCTTGGGCTTCTAAGTAGATGCATCTGATTATGTAAATTTGATACTCAAGCATAAAGAAACTCTTTAATAAGGTGACAAAAAGCCTTGTCCATCAGTGCAGATATTATAATCTATATAAAGCTTCGTTTAATGCTCCTCTAAACTTCAGGCATATTTGGATAGCTTTGATTGTATTTTCAACAATGATCTTTTCATAATTGTTTCTTGAAATCTATTCAAACCGAAAGTTACATTAATTGCATGAAATGACAAGCGGTACAGAGAGCTGTCTGTGCTTGTACTACATCGTGCGCGTGTTTCTTAATTTGTTTCCTGCTAGCGTATCTATTAAAGGAAAGATAAGCATCTGTGAAGTTAACTCACTAAGATAATGGCCAAATTATTTTTCTTTATATTATGGAAAGAAAACTGTACAACCGTAGTATAAAAGGAATACTGACAAGAATGACTGGATATTTCTTTTTAATGCTACTGTGAAGGCAGAAAAATAATTATTTTTGTAGTTTGTGTGTTTATAATCAACGTGTAATCTATACATGAGGACAGCAAATGCTCTTAATTTTTCCCAAGAAAGAAATTTTAAAGAGTTGTATGCATGTAATTCGGAAAAAATTAGTAGGTTTGACCATTTAAATAAATAAATCATTGAAAATAGAAAACAGATGATCATTCCATATTTTGATAGTGGCTCCTTTTGTGCTCTATTTTTATACTAGTGTGACTTAGTTTTCTGTGTATATATTTGTGCAATATTTATTGTATAATTGTTATATTTACATTAGAGATTGAGGGCTATTGAAATAACCGACTTGCCCAGCTGCCCGGTGGTGCCCCCGACACCAGAGTTACCTACAAGGTACGCTGATTTCTAGGGAGTTACCATGTTGGGATGTCGCTGTAGGAAACACTGCCTCTTTTAGGAAGCCGTGATACCAGCAGATGAATCTGGGCTGGTGCTGCGGTGTCGTTCCTCAAAGCTCCGCTTTCACGAGGGCTACTTCGAGGAACTGACATAAACCTCCATGGCAGCATCTTGCAGCTTCGCAGTTGGTTGAGTATTTAAAATATTCAGCCTGCTTATAAAGCATCCAAACACATTTCTGCTTGGATGATTCATGATTCCTTTGATTCCCTGCTACATCATGATTATGAATCAGTATTATTCACAGACCAGAATTTTGTTTTTAATAACAAATAAGTCTGTGTATCTCCATCATGAAAAAATTGCATGAAGAGAGAGCAAAAGTTTAACACTAATACAGTAAAAGTTTTAATAGGGTGTTAGTTCTCTTAAAATTATCTGTTATGAGTTATGATACGTTTGCCATATATGCAGTTACTGAAAATAATCAAAGTTCTCAGTTTAGTTAAGCAATGCAATCAGAAATACAGAAAGATATACATATATATATATATATATATATACATATATATATGTATATATATTGTAATCTATTTACAGAAAGTATGCTCACTGGCAAATATTCACGTTTCATCCTACTGAAACATAGAGTACATTCCGCTGATTAAATTGGACATACCTATTTGCAAATAAGTGGACAAAATTCATCCATTGCAAAACTGATTTTCATCGTTATTTCCTATCAGTAATTTTGCTGTCATTGTTGAGGTGAATTTAGTTAAGAAATTCTTTCATTTTCTGAAGTGTAAGAGAAAAAACTTCTTAAAATCATACACTGAAAGATTGATAGTTTAGTTTTACACTTTTTAAAGCATCTTTTTAGAATGCAAACTCTTTTTAGAAAAGGCACTTAAAATGAGATTTGCATTTCTATAAATCCAATAGAAAGATTTCTTTTTCTTTTAGTAGGATGAATAAGAAAAGATATTCAGTAAACATAGATAATGACATTGGGAGAATGATTCCTAGTTATCTTTCCATCTATATTGAATTCTTAAATGAAACCTCAAATCATGTCTTAATTAAAATAAACTTAATAGCAGTCCAGTAACACCAATCTAGTGTTGAAAGACTAATTACCAAGAAATTAGCAAGAACTACATAAGAAGGCAAATAAAATATAAATATTATATTTGACTGTATACATCTCTAGAAGACTCTTCAAACATATCCAGCAGCTCTTCAAGCAGTCACTAGATGGAAAAAGAGACAGTTAAGGAAAAAAAAAAAAAAGAAATTTACACATGATGTTTTTGCTGCTTTTTTTGCAAATAGGCTTGTTCAAATGTGGAAAGATGTTGTCAACCTATTCTCAAATAATATTGCCATCATTATTTCTAATACGATTCACAAAACCATAATAAATGGGAATAGGCCTCACATCTCCTTACCTTTTATTGTGTAAAAAAATATATAAATTCAAAATATCTAAAATTTCTTAAATCTATCTAATTAATCTATATATTATAATTGCAAATGGAACGTTTAATGTTAATTTATCCTTTAATATTTATATTTTATTTGCCTTCTTATGTACTTCTTGCTAATTTCTTAGTAATTAGTCTTTCAAAAACATACTAAGATATTTCACTGCTTTGCTTTTTACTGTATAAGTGATGTTATTAAAACTAATCTTTCTTCCTGTGATTGTTAGTGACCCCTGTACACAGGTGAGCAATGACGGCTCTCTGGTGGCTTTACAGCTCATCACCAAAGGCCACACGTTTTCTGTAGATTGGAGGTAAACTATGATACTTGTCGGCACTTTGAGCTATGGTCAGCAGAGAAGACCGTGCATTGGGAAAATGTGGGCACCTGTATGACCGTCTTCTTTTTTTCTAGGAAAGTTTCTTCCAAAATAGATTGGAGGAAAGAAAGGGGAATCTCAGGGAACGGCAGAGACAGCGAGCTGACTTTATGGTCTAGCAGACTGTCGCTTTAGCATTTTCATGTGCTTCAGATGATGCCATGAAATTTCATTTCCTGAAGTGCAGCAACAGTAGCAACCCTTGTCCTTCCCCACGAAATGTTTTTCAATGGCTTGAAATTTCTGCATTGCAAATGTATTAACCAAAACAATGTTTTGCTCTGAAAATGAATTTTAATTAATTCATGTTATTTTCCTAACAGGAAATGACAGACAACATGAGCAATGGAGGACCACAACTGATATTTAATGGAAGACGATAACCAATTTCTTAAAATTTGAACATTTTTAGTAGGTTCCCAGGGCAAGGAGATATTAAAGGACTAGGGATAAAATTAAAATAGCCCTTGCAATTTGCTTTATCACTCTGAGCAGCCACTAAAATTATTCTTCCTTAATTTTGTCTCAATTATTCTCCAGTCTTTTTTATGGAGTGGAGAACTTTCCAGAAATGATCTAGTTAGTAATTTCAACAGACTTTCCAGATGGTTCTGAAGGAGACGTTTTGGGGAAAAAAAATGTAATAAAACAGAAATAAGATCCATATTCTACACAAACACTATTTGACCAGCATGAGAATTAGATTTGTAATTACATATTTCATATGAACAAATCAAAGGTACAAATAACAGAGAACGACAATCACATATTGGTGTCTTTGTTTTGAAAGACAGATGGCTTCTAGAATGCCACAATTTAAAACCTCAGCAACGCCTTGTTATAAAAACATTGTAATTATTTTCAATTTGTGATTGAACTATATTTCATAATTTATTTGTAAATAACAAACACATAAAGCATAAAGAAGAGTTTTTTAGGGAGAGAATATTAATCTGTAAGATATTTTTGCATTTTTTGAGCAGGACTGAAAAGTTGTAAGTAAATATCATATAAGAAATTTCCACATTTTGATTATACTCTGGATTGATTTGCATGTTCATGAATGAGCCTGAGAATAAAGTATGTATTTACCTTTATTGTGAATATAAATTATATATATATAGCATATATTAAT